TTCCTCTACCCCTGGGGCGTCGTCGAGGTCGAGAACCCCGACCACTGCGACTTCATCAAGCTGCGCACCATGCTCATGTAACTACTGCCCACTACTCATTGCGTTCCTCTACCCCTGGGGCGTCGTCGAGGTCGAGAACCCCGACCACTGCGACTTCATCAAGCTGCGCACCATGCTCATGTAACTACTGCCCACTACTCATTGCGTTCCTCTACCCCTGGGGCGTCGTCGAGGTCGAGAACCCCGACCACTGCGACTTCATCAAGCTGCGCACCATGCTCATGTAACTACTGCCCACTACTCATTGCGTTCCTCTACCCCTGGGGCGTCGTCGAGGTCGAGAACCCCGACCACTGCGACTTCATCAAGCTGCGCACCATGCTCATGTAACTACTGCCCACTACTCATTGCGTTCCTCTACCCCTGGGGCGTCGTCGAGGTCGAGAACCCCGACCACTGCGACTTCATCAAGCTGCGCACCATGCTCATGTAACTACTGCCCACTACTCATTGCGTTCCTCTACCCCTGGGGCGTCGTCGAGGTCGAGAACCCCGACCACTGCGACTTCATCAAGCTGCGCACCATGCTCATGTAACTACTGCCCACTACTCATTGCGTTCCTCTACCCCTGGGGCGTCGTCGAGGTCGAGAACCCCGACCACTGCGACTTCATCAAGCTGCGCACCATGCTCATGTAACTACTGCCCACTACTCATTGCGTTCCTCTACCCCTGGGGCGTCGTCGAGGTCGAGAACCCCGACCACTGCGACTTCATCAAGCTGCGCACCATGCTCATGTAACTACTGCCCACTACTCATTGCGTTCCTCTACCCCTGGGGCGTCGTCGAGGTCGAGAACCCCGACCACTGCGACTTCATCAAGCTGCGCACCATGCTCATGTAACTACTGCCCACTACTCATTGCGTTCCTCTACCCCTGGGGCGTCGTCGAGGTCGAGAACCCCGACCACTGCGACTTCATCAAGCTGCGCACCATGCTCATGTAACTACTGCCCACTACTCATTGCGTTCCTCTACCCCTGGGGCGTCGTCGAGGTCGAGAACCCCGACCACTGCGACTTCATCAAGCTGCGCACCATGCTCATGTAACTACTGCCCACTACTCATTGCGTTCCTCTACCCCTGGGGCGTCGTCGAGGTCGAGAACCCCGACCACTGCGACTTCATCAAGCTGCGCACCATGCTCATGTAACTACTGCCCACTACTCATTGCGTTCCTCTACCCCTGGGGCGTCGTCGAGGTCGAGAACCCCGACCACTGCGACTTCATCAAGCTGCGCACCATGCTCATGTAACTACTGCCCACTACTCATTGCGTTCCTCTACCCCTGGGGCGTCGTCGAGGTCGAGAACCCCGACCACTGCGACTTCATCAAGCTGCGCACCATGCTCATGTAACTACTGCCCACTACTCATTGCGTTCCTCTACCCCTGGGGCGTCGTCGAGGTCGAGAACCCCGACCACTGCGACTTCATCAAGCTGCGCACCATGCTCATGTAACTACTGCCCACTACTCATTGCGTTCCTCTACCCCTGGGGCGTCGTCGAGGTCGAGAACCCCGACCACTGCGACTTCATCAAGCTGCGCACCATGCTCATGTAACTACTGCCCACTACTCATTGCGTTCCTCTACCCCTGGGGCGTCGTCGAGGTCGAGAACCCCGACCACTGCGACTTCATCAAGCTGCGCACCATGCTCATGTAACTACTGCCCACTACTCATTGCGTTCCTCTACCCCTGGGGCGTCGTCGAGGTCGAGAACCCCGACCACTGCGACTTCATCAAGCTGCGCACCATGCTCATGTAACTACTGCCCACTACTCATTGCGTTCCTCTACCCCTGGGGCGTCGTCGAGGTCGAGAACCCCGACCACTGCGACTTCATCAAGCTGCGCACCATGCTCATGTAACTACTGCCCACTACTCATTGCGTTCCTCTACCCCTGGGGCGTCGTCGAGGTCGAGAACCCCGACCACTGCGACTTCATCAAGCTGCGCACCATGCTCATGTAACTACTGCCCACTACTCATTGCGTTCCTCTACCCCTGGGGCGTCGTCGAGGTCGAGAACCCCGACCACTGCGACTTCATCAAGCTGCGCACCATGCTCATGTAACTACTGCCCACTACTCATTGCGTTCCTCTACCCCTGGGGCGTCGTCGAGGTCGAGAACCCCGACCACTGCGACTTCATCAAGCTGCGCACCATGCTCATGTAACTACTGCCCACTACTCATTGCGTTCCTCTACCCCTGGGGCGTCGTCGAGGTCGAGAACCCCGACCACTGCGACTTCATCAAGCTGCGCACCATGCTCATGTAACTACTGCCCACTACTCATTGCGTTCCTCTACCCCTGGGGCGTCGTCGAGGTCGAGAACCCCGACCACTGCGACTTCATCAAGCTGCGCACCATGCTCATGTAACTACTGCCCACTACTCATTGCGTTCCTCTACCCCTGGGGCGTCGTCGAGGTCGAGAACCCCGACCACTGCGACTTCATCAAGCTGCGCACCATGCTCATGTAACTACTGCCCACTACTCATTGCGTTCCTCTACCCCTGGGGCGTCGTCGAGGTCGAGAACCCCGACCACTGCGACTTCATCAAGCTGCGCACCATGCTCATGTAACTACTGCCCACTACTCATTGCGTTCCTCTACCCCTGGGGCGTCGTCGAGGTCGAGAACCCCGACCACTGCGACTTCATCAAGCTGCGCACCATGCTCATGTAACTACTGCCCACTACTCATTGCGTTCCTCTACCCCTGGGGCGTCGTCGAGGTCGAGAACCCCGACCACTGCGACTTCATCAAGCTGCGCACCATGCTCATGTAACTACTGCCCACTACTCATTGCGTTCCTCTACCCCTGGGGCGTCGTCGAGGTCGAGAACCCCGACCACTGCGACTTCATCAAGCTGCGCACCATGCTCATGTAACTACTGCCCACTACTCATTGCGTTCCTCTACCCCTGGGGCGTCGTCGAGGTCGAGAACCCCGACCACTGCGACTTCATCAAGCTGCGCACCATGCTCATGTAACTACTGCCCACTACTCATTGCGTTCCTCTACCCCTGGGGCGTCGTCGAGGTCGAGAACCCCGACCACTGCGACTTCATCAAGCTGCGCACCATGCTCATGTAACTACTGCCCACTACTCATTGCGTTCCTCTACCCCTGGGGCGTCGTCGAGGTCGAGAACCCCGACCACTGCGACTTCATCAAGCTGCGCACCATGCTCATGTAACTACTGCCCACTACTCATTGCGTTCCTCTACCCCTGGGGCGTCGTCGAGGTCGAGAACCCCGACCACTGCGACTTCATCAAGCTGCGCACCATGCTCATGTAACTACTGCCCACTACTCATTGCGTTCCTCTACCCCTGGGGCGTCGTCGAGGTCGAGAACCCCGACCACTGCGACTTCATCAAGCTGCGCACCATGCTCATGTAACTACTGCCCACTACTCATTGCGTTCCTCTACCCCTGGGGCGTCGTCGAGGTCGAGAACCCCGACCACTGCGACTTCATCAAGCTGCGCACCATGCTCATGTAACTACTGCCCACTACTCATTGCGTTCCTCTACCCCTGGGGCGTCGTCGAGGTCGAGAACCCCGACCACTGCGACTTCATCAAGCTGCGCACCATGCTCATGTAACTACTGCCCACTACTCATTGCGTTCCTCTACCCCTGGGGCGTCGTCGAGGTCGAGAACCCCGACCACTGCGACTTCATCAAGCTGCGCACCATGCTCATGTAACTACTGCCCACTACTCATTGCGTTCCTCTACCCCTGGTGCGTCGTCGAGGTCGAGAACCCCGACCACTGCGACTTCATCAAGCTGCGCACCATGCTCATGTAACTACTGCCCACTACTCATTGCGTTCCTCTACCCCTGGGGCGTCGTCGAGGTCGAGAACCCCGACCACTGCGACTTCATCAAGCTGCGCACCATGCTCATGTTGTAGTTACAAGCTAGTAGTAATGCCCTCCAGATCGGATATAATTCAAGCATTCTAGTATCTAGATAGCAATGTATGGAAAAATTGGCAAAATGAATGGGGTACTTTTATGTATCGGTATATGTACGTTATAGAGCGAAACCCCCCCCCCCCCGGGGGGGAGTTAACGTCGCACCCCTTCCCCGCTCACAAGAAAGTGTCCCGAAGAGCAGGTTTGTCCAGTTTCAAAGAAACGACACATGAAAAATGTGCAAGTACAACGTGAAAAATGTGTAATGGTCCTTGATAAATTTGCTATCAACTCATGACAAGCGATATCACTTATAGTTTCCACGCAATCTGCCACGAAATGTGATATTTTTTTGTCCTTAGTTAAGTTTCTTAAAAAAAATTCCAACTTAATCGCCAATATATGTATGACTAAAGTAAAGAATAAAGTATGTTTAAAAAGAGGTATAATTTATTTCGAAACTCTAATTTCACAATGCTATGCTATTTTGAAAATTTAAGTCATTCAGTCAGTCAGTCTAATCGACGAGAGTAGCTATTGACGATGAAACGAAGGTGAACACGAACCACCAAAGAGACAAGCCACTTGCTTAACCAACCAACTTGAACCTGACCAACACTTGTTTCGTACACGTCGATATTGGACTAGTCATGAAGATTACAGGCAGGCTGTACAAGCACTGCCAGCTATAAACGGGCGCATTTCTATGGAGCTATTGCAACTAAAGAAACTCCAGAGCCGGATAGAGTGCAATTGCAGCACATCTTCTTTTAATAATCTTCTTTTTTTTTAGAATAGAGGTAACAAACTAGCACGCAGTCCACCTGATGGTATTTACATCTATCCAAAATGGGGGTGTATACTAAAGTATCCAAATGCATTGAACTATTGAACTAATGTTCTGTACTTGAATAGTTTTAATAATGATTTTTTGTAATATATGTATATTTAAATAATTTTTGTAGTACCCACATGCAAGATCTGCAAGAAGTCACACAGGAAGTGCACTATGAAAACTATCGTTCAGAGAGACTGGCTCGCAATGGACAAGTTCCTAAACGACACACGTAAGTATCATAATATATTTAGCATTAAATATTAACATCTTCTTTAACACTGTCAATAGTCAAACGCTGGATGTAGGACTTTTTATACAAGGGAGACAACCACGCACACATTCAACCTGGAATATGGATGCCTATAATCACTTACTTTTATTATTTATCGATTTAGAATCAAAATGTAGTTGTCACCAGGACCAAGATCGTATATTTTGTTACAAGCAAAAATAATCTCCAGTTAATGTAACTTATTGTACGATATACATTAGCATTGTGATGCTATTTTATTTATTTCTTCGTCAGTCGAAGTGACCCTTTCTTTTGGACTTTCGCAAATTCGAAGTGTTTATCCCTTTATAATTATTTAACCTGGCAAATATGTTTCTATAAATTATCCATTTGAAATAAATAGATATTTATTATTATATATATGTATAAACAAAAAAAAATAGTTGTAAGTAATAGATCATCCTATCATCATCTAAATCATTTAGTAAAATAATAATGAAAAAATCAACTGCATTTAACTACTTACATTTTTATTACATCCCAAATAATATTCGCAAGGGCGCACCTTCCTCGCGGACACTTCCGCCATTTAAATTTGCTGACGTTTCTTACTTTCCACAATGATTGTATAATATATTATAGTATTATTATATATTATAGTATTATTATATATTATAGTAATATTAATATTCATTTATGTGTAACACACCCCTTTAGATCGACGGAGAGTGGTTTGAGTGAAGCCGATTCAAATGGTCATAATGGGTCTAATGAAGATTCTTCTGAACGCGAACGTGCGCTACGTGAAAAGGTAAATCTATCTCTAATTACTTCAAACCTATGTCTCTATGGATTTTCAGTGACGAAATAGTTCAATTGTAAACTTTGTTGTGAAATTACGTAAGAAATAAACACAAATTATCATCAAAACTTACAGAGATATTACAATTACATTTAGCTGATCTCCTAGAGGTCTAGATCTAGTGTTATAAGTATCTGACTAATATGTAGCTGCTTAGTTGTGATTTTTCCTCACACTGGCTGCATCCTAGCTTTTCTTCGATTTTATAGGATAAACTTTATATTTTACGGTTAAATTGAACAAATCCATGATGACTCCAACTACGGAGAAAAAAATACAAAGAGGTGTTGTAATTAGATTTCACTATGTAACAACGTGATAATTTGTGGGGTGAGGGGGCGTTAAGCCCCGCCCACTTTACTATTTTCCATCTACCGATAATAGTAAAACTACTCGCATCGTTCCATATCGATGTTGCAATGTAGTTTAGCTACCTTGACGATAGATGGCGGCCTGTTCACAAAATGATTATAAAAACTATAAAAATAATATTTTGGCGATTAAAAATTCTTTAGGACTGAATGCAAAACAAATTTCAGCACCTTCGTATGAATATTTTACCAATACTGAGCTCTACGTACCTTTATATTTTTAGCTCCTATGACATAAAGTGTCGCCATCTAGTGTCGAATATATTAAATTATATTTGAAAGCCGACGCAGAGATTTTTCTAGAACTATTTTAATAAATTAGGTATAAAATTACTTACAGATGAAATGTGATGCCATCCATAACATCAGAGCGTCTATCTGAGTAGTTTTTACACGATAAAACACAACACTTCATTCTTTTCTTCTTAATACTACGACAATACACCGATTTGCGATTTTCGATACATAAGCGCACAGGACAAACGTTGACAGAATACTAATGTTAAAGCCACGCCCACTGTGATGACGTCAGGACCTAGTTAGTATCAAAGTACACAGTTGCTTGGCCGTCTCCTCTTTGTATTTGCTCCGTGACTCCAACAATATCTCTAGCCTAGTTTATAGATCCCTTCTGAAATTACATCATCATCTTTACTTTCTAGGAAGCTGAATTACGTCGTATGCAAGAGATGCTGGAACAAATGCAGCGTCAGATGCAGCTTCAAGCGGCTGCCAGCACTACCACCGCATAGTGCATGCAAACCCAACAGGTATTCTTCTTTAAATTTATATATAATAAAATGGGTGTTTTTTAAAGGTGTTTCTAGTGACTGCCAATTTGACAGTAGACAGTAGATTTGTGGTTAATTTTGTCGATTCACCATTAACAGAATAGCATCAGAACAATGCTTGCAAATTATACAAATTTATTTTAAGAATCATGGTTCAGTTCGTCAAACGTTCCCTGCGCTACGTTCTATTTACGATCGACATAATCGTCCATCCGAGCAAGTCGTTCGAAACACCATGGATCGTTTTAACACCACTAACACTCTTATTGATTATACACTAGGCATAGGAGAAGTTATTGCTACTGTATAGAGCGCAGTGTTAAAGAGAACGAGTGGATTCGCCGTCGTTTATAGTAATTACTATTGCTATAATAATAATTTCTTGGTTGATAAAAGTTACAATACTTATACATCCCACTGTAGAGCACAGCCTTCTCTCATTTCTTAGGGTTATGGAGCGATAAGTATACTGTACTGTGCTCTACATGTCCTCGAAATATTGTATTTTTTGACATGCATGTTTCCTTGCGATGTTATCTTTCAACGCCGAGCACGTGATGAATCAGCACTTAAAGTTGCAATCAACTATTTTATTGGTGCCGGTGGGGATCTAACTTGAGCTACTCGCGTACTGTGTAATTTACAGCTTGCACTTAGCCAACACAAGCTACTATGGCCCGTCTGGTTTATGTAATACTTACATTTTTTTCTTGTCCTTTCGCTTTTTCTTCTCGTCTATCTTTCGTTCTACAACAGTTTTTTTTTTTTTATTACAGTGCACCGTCAGGTATCCAAACATTTTCCGTATTCTATTAAATTATACAATTCTATTAAAAATGAATCTCTTATTTCTAGTTGGACACTAGTACCGCTGTCCAACTGGCGAACGCTTGCGACGTCGTCAACTCGATACTGCGCGCCATTCCGTACTGCATCACTTCCAACTAATATACTGTTATTAATGGGAATGTCTTCACTTAATATCAAATTATTACAAAAGCATTCTCACATAGATCATATAAATTACATTGCTTGTAACAAATTTTAAATATTTTGATTTTTGTATGAACAATACTGATAGTATTCCATTGAAGGTGTTACCAAAACTGAGATTGTTGATTGAAACTGATTTAAAAAAAATACTATTGATAAATGTACTAGAAGGTGATTTTTGTCTTTGACGGCATAAATTTAAGTGTATCATTTTAAATAAATAACTCTTATATATTTAATTAAATTGATAAATTATATAACTCAGCCTACAACATAACACAAACCTTCTATATTTATGTATTATATTAATATCAATTATGTGAATATACCATGATAAATATCAGTTTGTAAGTAAGTAAATATTCACTACATTCATAAAACGACGGTGATCACTTATCATCTGGTGAGCCTTATGCTCGTTTGCTTCCTCTTCTATGAAAAATTATAATAATAAAATCATTAGAATCAGAGGAAAAAATCTCTTTTAGGTAGAATGTCCGAAAATAGAACATTTGTGAAAAAAAATTAATTTACGTTTATGTTTTGAATGTATGATGGAATATGAAGATTTTACTGCTATTATCATTTACGTTTTAAATCTATATGTTAATTACTTACAGAGAAGGTAATAGCAATCTCTGGGGGAGGCCTATGTTCGCCAGTGGACTTGTAATAGTCTGCAAATCCTATAAAGGTTCTCTTATCGAACGAACATTACGTACATGTAGATTGAAATAGAAAACTCATATTTATTCAATATGAGTTTTCTATCTCGCTTTTTTGTAGGTTGCCAGCATTAAATATTCTGTGCAATAAATTTATCATCATTCCTAAGGTGATATTATATGATTGACATTGAATGAATGAACGAAAAAAAATAGATTGCAATGTTTAATCTACATATAGGTTCCTAATATAGTCCAGCGTCAATTGATAAGAATAATGTTATATTAGCAAATAATTATAGCAATCTCGAAAGCCTTGAATATGGCACTAAATATAAAGTAATACAATTCAATATATTATTATATTGCAATAACTCTCTGAAATAAAAGTTCTAAGAGTATGTTAATGGTTATTTTTAATTTCTATAATTCAATTTAGAATAAGCAATACCATATAATATACACTTTGGAGCATATACTATCATAAAAATGAGGCCATTACCATAATCTACAATATACCTTTGAATGTACTTACCGAGTAAAATCTTATAATTTAACTGGAGTTAAAAGATATATTTTCACTTGTTGCTTATTGCACTGGATCCTAATTATTTTCTTCTTTATGTTTAGTATATGCTCTTTGGATTTTACGAATAATTACTATTCTGTATTCAATTTTAGTATTTACATTATATTTTATATAGTTAGTAGTAATATTTTTATGATTACAGTAAATTAGTGTAACCATTTTATTAATACAGATACAATTTTATACAGAACTAAGATTTAAAATTATTAAAGACATCCCTTTCAAATGAAGGGAATATTCATTTATTCTTTGACTAGAATTTTGTGCATATATCCATAATTTTTTTACTATTATTACTTTCAGTATTGATCTTATTTATAAATTTTATTTGTGCCATTGAACCTTGAAATTTTTGATCTGTATTTCACTATGAAAATGGGATAATAAGTTGGTAATACAAATCTTAATAATTGCTCTCTTAATAATATTTTCGCAAAAAAACTAAGTTCTTTATAGTTTTCACTTTGTTTCTCATTTTCATTAGGTTTTATTGAGATGACTGATTAATTTTCCATTATATAACCTAGTATTCTCGAATGAATGTATTATTTTAATTTTATTTAGAATTAGTTTAATTATGACATTGTAATATTCCAAATTTATCTTATTTTTATTTGAAATTATTGATTTGCAATTGGTATTATTGGTGAATACAATCTGATTGGCTTGTCTGGTGATTATTAAATACGTATTGTCTATCAACAGTACTTAAACACAAAACACTAAAATATTGTTTACGCGTAACTATTTCGAAATCAATTTAATATCGCACAACCTAAACGCCTAAATAGCTCAAATTATCATTATAACCTTTGGTCAATAAATACTAATAGTATTTACTCATCAATAATAAATATCACAGTAATTATTGATTGAATTCAACTATTTTAAACATTTTCGTTACCTATATAAAACATGTGCTTAAACTTCATAATATATTGCCGATGTATGTTCGTTTTTTTTTTGGATCTGGACTTGAATGGTATGTTGAAGCAAAATTCTTTATCTATTTATTGCTATTATTATTTTGCAAAGTACGTCTAAAATAATTTTGTCAGTTAGTGTAGAGTGCAAGTTGTTTTTTTATTTGTCCTATCTTGGTGGATTCAAAAACGACCTGCTAAAATAAAAAAAGTAATTAATCAATATCCAATTATGTGGGGAAACTGCAAATCACATTATCAACAAAACGCTTTTTAAATTTTTAATTTTACATATAAATAAAAATATAAGACATATTAATATAAATTGATATTGAAATATCTGTGGAGGCAAGGGTTTTGCTTTAGCAATCAAATAACAAGTATCTAGTATAAAATATAAACTATCTATTTCGAAATAATTATCACATCCTCATGTTTAACATCCAGTTAATTGAATGTTTCATTGAGGAAATGAATGAATGAATAAAATTCTCCATTTGGTGCATTTATTATTCTAAGTATAAAGAACAATAACTTTATCGAATGAAGAGCTGTAAACTGTAAGAATATTACACATGGAATTTATATTTGTTAAACAGCTAGACTTGAGTCTGGGTTGATCTTTTTTAGGTTTTAAATTGGTGCCAAAGCTCTTACAACAAAAGTTTGGTTCAACTTTTCGAATATCATCGAATTCTATTGTCCATGATAATGATAACCAAATATTGTATGTATTGAAAACTATGTAATCATATTTTTATATTAAAACATTGAAATATATAAAACCAAATGTTTTATTTTTCTAATCTGATGTAGTACATATTACATGGGCTTTTTATTTCTAGGAGAAATATATAACAAGCCCTGCCTTGTGAGGGGATGGGGTCCAGGAAGTAAAGGCCATAATTCATCTTCGAAATTTAAGAAGTAGTTTATAATTATATCGGCCTCTATTTCCTTCACGTTTCCGTTTTGCAATTGCTGCTTACAAACTGTGTGAAATAAGCTAACACAATAAGGCAGCAAGCAAGATAAGCAGGTAACTTCAAAGCTTAATGAGATGTAAATAAACAAACAAACAAATATAGCAGGCAATTCCGCAAAATTCTATTCTAATGATTTCTTATAATTGACACACTACTAACACTATTACCGCATCGAAATGAGAATCCTCTGACCGGACAAGAAACGACGAAAGAAACTCCGCGGGAACCCTCTTTTGTGTCTTTTTAATAGTTAATATTACATAGCATATTATATTATGATATATAGAATGCAAAACTTTAAGAGACCCATCGGTAAGTGAAATATGATGTACGCAAAAAAGACGAATAAAAATTTTAGCTTATCAGCGAATAGCACTGACCTCCATATATACATAATAGAGGTCAGTAGCGTATAGCAAACCGAAGTGGTATTAAGTATTATTTGAGCTCGTGCAGACCAGCCCCCACAAGCAGCAGCTGTTTACAAGTATGACGTATGTGGCAGCCACACTCTTCGACCATATTAAAGGGCAAGCAGAGACCTTAAAGCGATCATGACATACCCAAGTCCTACACACTGAGATATGTCTCCGAAAAACACGAAATTAATACGATTTGATGTAGTATTACGAGGGCGGCACTGAAAATTTCGGGAATCAAGGAAGTGACACAACATTACTATTTAAAAATGTATTTATTGCTTTTCGAAGTATTCTCCGCGAAATTTGACACATTTTTCCATACGATGGAACCAATCATTGAAGCAACCATTCCATTCGGAAGTTGGGGTCTCCAAAATGGCCATTTTGTAGGCTTCCACAGCTTCTTCAGGTGATGAAAATCTCTGTCCACGCAATTTATTCTTTATTTTAGGGAAAGTATAGAAATCATTAGGGCTTAGGTCGGGGCTGTACGGCGGATGGTCTAATAATTCTATGTTTTCTTGCTCTAAAAACTTTTGTTCTGTGTGCGGTGTGAGAACTCGCATTCTCGTGATGGAGGATGATGCGGCGGTTGCAGTTCTCTTTACGGAGTTCAGAAACGACCTGTGGCAAACAAATGCTAGCATACCATTCTGCATTAACCGTTCTCTGTCTGTCCCTCAAGAGGAATAGTCGTAACATGGCCGGTTTTGGAGACAAACGTGGCAACCATTTTTTTTTGCAACACTCCGTGAACGAACTAATTTTGTTGGCTTTAACTCATTTTCGAACACCCAAACTCGTGACTGGTTTTTTGTTTCGGGCTCGTACGCGTATATCCAGAATTCGTCACCTGATACGATGTTGTATACAGCATTTGAGGATCCTGCGTGGAATCTTTCGAGAGTTCTGACGCACCAAGTAACGCGAGCCGCTTTTTGCTCTTCACAGAGCGAATGCGGTATCCATCGGGAAAACAACTTTTTTACACCTAATTGTTCGTGCAAGATTATTTGTATTTGACTCATGCCAATGTCTAAAGTTGTCTGAATTTCACGGTATGTCACATGTCGATCTTTCTCAATCAGCTTACGCACAGTTTTTTTGGGTGACTGCAGTTTTTGGACGACCTTGACGGGGATCATCACTGAGCTCGACACGTCCACGTTGAAATTCAGCAAACCAGCTATAAATTGTGGTTTTGGATGGGGCTTCATCACCATATGCAGAAATCATCCGGTCAACACACTGTTTTTGTGTTAAACCACTTCGAAAGTCATAATAAATCATCGCTCTTGAATTTTCTCGAGTCAATTCCATTTTCTCAACGACTAAACAAGTTTGATAAAACCTTGTGGCAAGACCGAGAATCTTGACCTCCATTAGCTCAGATGATTACCGTAATACCGTCAGAATAGTGTCGGATGAGACTTGTTATTTGATCGTTACTCACGCTTGCACGTGGTTCGAACTCAACCTCATCCAAAATCTAAGGTGTCCCGCAAATTATGCTGCAACAATCGGTTATCAGCTGCGATAGTTGGCGCTTTGCAGCTTTAGAGCCTTGACTTCGCTAATCGCTTCTTCATTACGAGCTGTATTAAAGGTACATAAATTAGCCGCGTGCAAGTGGCACGACCGGGGAAGGACCACGCTCTCACAGAATACCAGCGTAAAATAGCAGCTTAATGCTGCTGTGTTTCGTATGGTGAATGTAAAAAACCGGAGACCCTTTTTACTGGAAATGAGGCATTCCATCTTAGTCCTCACGGGTGACAACGCATCTGCATTTTGATTCGTAATCGAGGATAGATGGAGATGTCTATGGGCCGCAGCAACCACTTACCATCAGGTGGACTGTGTGCTCGTTTGTCACCCTTACCCTATAAAAAAAACACATTTTAACTTTTTTTATTTTTCTACATTTAATAATATAGTTGCGGTTTGGTTTATTTATTTTTAATCAAATTAATAAAAAACATAACTAATAGTACAGAAAGTAACATTAAATTTTACATTTTTCGAACAAATCAACTTTCCCGCTGTGAAATCTGTCAAATATTTTACCTCACTTTTAATTAGCGCCGCCCTGGTGGCAGAAAAAGTTGCGGATGCCCTCATTAGACTGTGAGTAAATCATAGGCCCTGGTTAAAATTTCACGTAGCTATGAATCATTCGTCGATTTCGTGGTAAGGGACGTCAATGAACTTTTTTCACTTCTTTTTATTAACTTACTTTACTCTTATTAAGGTGAAAGCTCTACGGTGGCCCGCGAAATTCAGTTTTTCTTGCGTTTTTTGGAATTTGCAGGAGAGGGTCAGGTTGAATGTTTAATAAAATATGATTCGCGACCGTAACGAGTATATGTTTATAGAATTATTATCATTAAAATCACCAATACAACCAATTAATAGAATCAGGCGTTACTTTGCGGAAATCCATTATATAAAAGCTTTTACAAAAATTATATAAAAGCTTTTACAAAAATTTACTTCGCAAATATCCGCGTTATAAAATAAAGAAGCACCTCCCGCCCTCCCTCAATTGACACGTGTTTCGCCTCTACACGAGGCATCCTCAGGTGATATAGACTCTACGGTGGCTAACCGCTAAGTGAGCGGCGAGCTTTTTTTTTTTTTTGCGCCCGAAGCAATTGGAAATGGGCTACCTCGAAGGGAGGCAGAAAATGCATTACGCATACCACGATGGCCGGTCCTTTGGGGACCTTTGGGGACTGGCAACTAGCTGTTGAAAGCTTCATATGCCGTATCTAAAGCGACCCTCTTTTGGGAAAAGAGGGCGCAGACGGCTAAGTGCCGTTTAGGGACTGCCTACGAAGGCATATTGATTTTAAATAATTTTTACTTTAATTAGTATTGGCCTGAGCCGCCAGAAGGCAGTTCAGGTCGCTTGAAAGTTTATTTGGCTGGTCCGAGAGAGTGTTTCTCGGCCTGCGGACGGTATAGCGGGAGGGGAGTGGGGCGGTATAAGTTACTGCCTCACGAATTAATGAGTTATTGTGCGACTCTGAAACTTTAAAAAAGTTTTCAGAGAGAGTTTTAGTAAATTGCTGAATTGTTGGGATTTCTAAATCCCGGTGAAGATCGGCATTACGGACGTACCAAGGTGCGTTCGTAGCTCGACGACAGATTAAGTTTTGAACTACTTGTAGTTCGTTAATAATTTTATTATCGGCGTGTGCGAATACAGGGGCCGCGTAAGTCATTACGGGGCGTATACAAACCTTATAAAGGGTTCGCTTATTTCTTAATGACATTTTACTATGTCGGCCTAACATACTGTTAAGCCTACCTAGGTATAAACGAGCTAGACGTGTTACTCTTTTGACATGAGACTCAAAAGTAAGCCTGTAGTCAAGGGTGACGCCTAAATATTTTGCTGACATATGCCATGGGACAGGGGTCCCTAGCATTTGTATAGGTGGAGTATTTTTCTTGTTTTTATTTCGGCGTCTTTTAATATCGAATTGAACTGCGGAGCTCTTCTCCGGGTTCACATCGATACGCCATTTTTGGAACCAATCTCCTAGGTCATCGACTGACTTTTGGATCTTGTTCCTTGCTGAAGATATTCTAGGACTTTTGAAGTAAAGAGCAGTGTCATCTGCGAAGAGTGAGAGCTGTACACCATTCGACGGGATTGGAATGTCGTTGGTGTACAAGATGTACAGGAGGGGAGCTAGTACTGATCCCTGAGGAACACCAGCTTTAATGGGGCGCTAAGAGGATAACGTGCCTTCGTGTCTAAATCGAAAGTTACGATGTTGTAGGTAAGAGGCTACGAGACGTACTAGACGATCGGAGAGTCCTATCCTATATAATTTGAAAATAAGGCCTTCGTGCCAGACGCGGTCGAAGGCTTTGGCAATGTCGAAAAAGACCGCGATTGTCTTTAGTCGACGTGGATAAAAACCGCTGAGGACATATTCCACAATGCGGTGTACTTGTTGTGGACACGAGTGTTTCGCACCGAAACCAAATTGGTGTGGGATGACAAGGGGGTCACCGTCTGTGGGAAACAGATGGCGCCTCATTCGATTTTGAATGACTCTTTCAAAGAGGTTGCCCATGGCCTTTAGGAGGCTAATGGGACGATGACTGGAGGGGAGGTTAAGAGGCTTGCCTGGCTTGGGAATACCAATGACAATTGCCTCTTTCCAAGTAGTGGGAAAATAACTAAGATTGAAGCAGGCGTTAAAGATAATAGATAAGAGGGTTAACACCTGCTCTGGAAAGTTTTTAAGGGCTTGGTTGGATATGCCATCCGCGCCCGGAGACTTTTTGGGCTTAAGTCTTTTGATGATGGATGAAATCTCATCATTGGACACAGTGATAGGGTCGGAGGATGTGGGG